AGGAGAGTGAAGAAGAAGAGTGAGAGTGGACAGGGGGATGCGTGGATTCCCTCAGACCCCTGCAAAGGAAAGGGAAAGTAGAGAGCGACTGCTAAAGGGCTGAGGTTGCTGGGTGCGTCTGGCAGTTACCAAGAACCCAGGCGATCCCTTTTGGGGAGTTCCTATACTATGCATGAGCTTTAGTCTAAACTCCTTAAAGGGGGTTTTAGAGGGGATTATATGGGGGACTTATACAGTTACTAAGGGGGATACTAGGAGTTTAGACTATAGCTCACATGTTGGGATTTATTCGTGCTCCCTATGTATGGAAGCGCTCAGATTTCCCGGTGTTGTGCCAGATTTATCCAGGTGATCTCTACCTGCCAGCGAGCTTTGGCTTGGAGTCGTGCACCTGGGCCGTTGTTGAGGCATTTTCTGTGGAAGCCAGAAAACTTACCAATACTATGGTCCTACGGTCCCTGTATAACTACAGTCTAGGGTACCTGGAATAGGCTTCAAAATGATAGTGGTAATGATTTACGCCTCTACAGTAGGAGAGTCAAACCACCAAGACTTCTTCGCACTTCTTGGAGATATTGTATGCCAGAATTCGGCCGAAGGCCCCAGAATTTCTGGTTGCTAGCAAGGAATGGGGGATTGGATTCGTATAGCAGCCCGGGTACAGTCCCCAATGATGTAGTAATTCCCAATATTTTTTCCATTCCTTCACCCCCTACGAACAGCCAGCAGGCTAACCATATACTCGTACCTTAAACCGTACAATACATCCCTACAGACTCCCAGTCTCCATTTCATTGTTGGTCTGCTTTCTCTGTGGGTTTCCTTGCCCTACTAAAAACTTTAAGCCCTGAACCATTAACCCTAACACCCTAAATCCTACACCCTAAGACCCTAAACCCTAAAACCCTAAACCCTGCACCCTGAGACCCTCAACCTTATGTTTTTAGCCATAAGCAGTAGTTAGAAGCAAGCAAGGCCTTGACGCTCGCCTGCTCGCTCGACACTGCTGTGGGTGCGGGCGCTGCAGATGCCAGGCTTCCGGTACCGGGCAACGGGTGCATGTATGTGTAGATATATACACACATTATTATTCATGTTATTACTATTCTCAATATTATGAATACTATTACTACTCTTAATATTTGTATTATCCTTAACACTATGTTACTTTCTGTTTAATTACTACTACTACCGAAAGGCGGCTGGCTCTTCCTCTTTTCTTGCTGGCTGCTAGCAGGCAATGAAGGAACGTAACAGAGAACGGAAAGTACGAGATTATGGCGCTTTATCTCGGGGCCTTTCGGGATTCCATTCCTTTAGTCCCTGCTAGCAACCTACAAGATTCCCGAAAGGATGCCTTCCTTGCTTTGTTTTTTTGTTGGGGAGTTCTCTGGAGAATACATGGCCCAAAACGGGGCTGTGCCTTTGAGGCGTCTTCATTCCTGGGTTACATCTCAGCAGCCTAGGGCCTAGGGTACATCTTGGGTGCTGCCCCCACTCATTGGATAATATGTGTTATATAGTTATATAGAGCCCTCATAATATGAGCCCTGTTATAGACTGAATGGGTGGGGGCAGGACCCAAGGTAAGGGATTACAATAGTACACCCCCCCCCCAGATTTAGAACCCGATTAGGCCTTATTAAGCCCTGTATGGTCCTTATTAGCTCCTGAAACCCTGGGCGGGTACCTTTGGGGGGGGTACTATTGTAATCCCTTACAAGGTACATCCATGCTTTGGCATTTCCATCAGCATATATCAGCGGGCTGGGGTTTAGATAGTTTGGAGGCCCCAATGCAGTGCCACAAAAGCGGTGCGGACGCCTGCGAGTGGCAGTTTCATCGATGATTCTCCTAAGCTGCCCATAGAGCATCATAGAGATCATAGAAATAATAGTAATAATTGTAGTAAACGTAATATTAATAGTAATACTAGTAACATGAACGCTCTTGGGCTCTACTCTGTGCATCGCTGATCACCTGGCAGGACATTTGCGGGTGTTGTCAACAGCTGTGTCCAAACTGAGCTTTGGCAGCAGAGCATCGCAATCTTGGGCGGCTGCTTGGGAAGACGCATTTCCCTGGACCTGACTGCGCATTCGGAGACTCGGTTCGCGATTGTTTTCCCTAGCTTTTTGCTACACAATGTTTTCAGCAGTGGCTTCTCAAGCAGAATGCAGGAGAGTATCGCTGCCTGTCATCGATCGCAGCAGTGGCAGCGGGCACTTGCGATGGTGAGCATGCTTGACCACAACTCCATGGATCTTGATGTGACGCTGTGCAACCTCTCCATCAGCATTTGTGAGACGGGCCGTCGCTGGCGTGATGCTACTTATTTGCTTATGTCAACAGAGAGGGTGTCCATCTGCCCTGACGTGATAACCATCACGGCTGCCATGAGTGCTTCTGAAAGCTGCAGCTGCTGGGAGATGGCAGTTCATCTGTTCGAGCAGGTCCAGGGAAGACGCATTGAACCCAATGGCATGACCTACCGAGTGCTTGTCTCAGCTTGCGTTGCTGGTGGGCGCACACGTTGGGCACTGCAATCACTGCGAACCATGGCAAAGAAGCATGTGGAAGGCGATGTCATCGCACTCAATGCTGCCATCGCGCAGCTTGGCCAACGTACTCACTGGAAGGCCGCCCTAAACTTCTCCACCAAGCTGGCATGCGATGCTCTGCGGTCTGATGCTGTAACCTACACCTCGTTGACGACCACAGTTGCCAAAATCAACCGCTGGAAGGCGGCCCTTGGTCAAGTGAGGTTTCTGAAAGACCGCGAAATGGAGCCAGATTGCCAGACCATGGCAAGCAATGCCGTCCTCAGTGCATGCTCTGAGCCTTCTGGGCACCTGTGGCAGGTTGCCGTGGCAATCTTTCAAGATTTGAACAGGCAGAGGCTCTGTAGCGTCGTTACCTACAGCAACCTGATGAGTGTCTGCGAGCACATTGGACGTTGGGAGATTGCCCTTGAACTTGCCATCAACGCGGAGCGTGCCTTGCCAGCAGATCTGGAATCCAAGCAGAGTACAGGCAGTATGGTAGCACCGCTCGTTTCACCAAAGCTACTACTGATCCTCCAAGCACACGTACTACTGTTACTGTTGTTATTGTTAAGGCTGGTCCCGCAATAGCAACAACAGCAAACCACAACAGCAAGAATAATGATAATATGAGGTAGTAGCAGGAGGATGAAAAGCAGGAAGAGGAGGAGCTACATTGTCACATCGTAGCAGACGTGGTTCTCAAAAGGATGTTAATCCCTAAGGGTCCAAGGACCCAAATAATGAGGTTTTAGGGCCCAGATACCATTAATATTATAGTATTTGGGCCCTAAAACCCTATCATTTGGGTCCTT